CAGAGACCACACTCCTGTTGTTATTGTATCCTCAGTGCCTGGCCACCTATTAGGCACCCAATATTGATTCAAACAACTCTTGAATTTTTGCCTCAGCAAATTTTAATCATTATTTGTTTCTGTGTATTTTCACATTTTTCTTACTATTAGCTTACATCAGTAATCTTTATACATCGAGTAGTCATTTTTTTCTTTGTCTCAAAGGACGCTATAAGATAAAAGTCTTCATTACCTGTCTTCACAGGTGTTCTTCTTTTGGGAGACGCATATAATATGAGGCATCCACTTACTGGTGGAGGAATGACTGTTGCATTTAAAGATATAAAACTATGGAGGAAACTGCTAAAGGGTATCCCTGACCTTTATGATGATGCAGCTATTTTCGAGGTAAGATCAATTATTTTGATAAAAGTGTCGCAAAATGGATTTATTTCTGGGGGTTAAGAGCATTGGGGCTCTGATGGGGAGATCTGTACCAGGGAACCTGATGCTTTGTAATAGCTCTTAGGCATCTTGCTTAGGCTTAAAGAACCTGACTTGTAACCTGCGAATCTTAGAGAATTTCTAAATTTGAATATTATGTAACACTGGATTGCAATGAGCCACTTGGCTCATCGTGGTTGTAAATTTAGCTTCAATGTCATATAACCCATTGCTCTGAAGGTGATTTTTTTTTGTAAATGATAAACATAAGGCAATATTACTTGTTGATAGTACTTAGGATAAATATCAGTTTGAGGAGGTTATAAATATCAGTTCATGCTTTTTTATCCTTACTATTTAATAAATGAGCTTTTCTTTTTTAGGCCAAAAAATCATTTTACTGGGCAAGAAAAACATCTCATTCCTTTGTCGTAAATATCCTTGCTCAGGCTCTTTATGAATTATTTTCTGCCACAGATGGTAAGTATAGATGCTTTTTAGTGAATATTACTCAATTGCAGATTTTTAGCATAGGAAAGGAATAAAAAAGTTAGCGATTAGTCCAAAAATCAAAATGTTACCTGAGTTTGCTAACTCCCAAGTTGGTAGTTTCTGTTTTTTTTTGAGACGGAGTTGTGTTCTTGTTGCCCACGCTGGAGTGCAGTGGCATGATCTCAGCTCACCACAATCTCCACCTCCGTGATTCTTCTGCCTCAGCCTCCCGAGTAGCTGGAATTACAGGCATGCACCACCGTGCCCCACTAATTTTGTATTTTTAGTAGAGATGGGGTTTCTCCATGTTGGTCAGGCTGGTCTTGAGCTCCCAACCTCAAGTGATCCACCTGCCTCGGTCTCCCAAAGTGCTGGGATTACGGGTGTGAGCCACTGCACCTGGTCAGTTGGTAGTTTTTAAAAAAATTCCAGTTTGAGCAATAGTTTTGGTTTTAGTTTGGAAGGCAAACTTGAGTTTTAGTTTGGAAGGCAGTAGAATTTCCTTAGACAACATTAATAGCGATGCCTCAGTAACATATTCGTTATTTTGAATTCCTCTGGTCCAGATGAGATCATGCGTTTCACCCCACACACAAGATCGTGATGGAAGGTGTTTTTCGCCATGTATTAGAAGGCAATATAGTCCTTTTTCTTCCTGAACACTCGTTTCAATTTCTTTTTATAGTAGTTTATAAAATGAATACAAGCTGTTAATCTTATCCCTGTTAAAAAGCACAAATAACAGAATGCATTCACCCTTTACTTATTTGAAATATTTTTGTGCTTTTGTTTCTGTTTGCATATTATAGAGAGGTCATGGTCAATGTATATATTACAGAAAACACAACTTAGCAGAAGCAGTGTGAGAAAAAGAGGAAAAGAGGCCAGCTGAAGTGACTCAATGCCTGTAATCCCAGCACTTTGGGAGGCCAAGGCAGGAGGATCACTTAAAGCCAGGAGTTTCACACCAGTCTAGACAATAAAGCAAGACCCCATCTCTACAAAAAATTAAAAGATTAGCAAGGCATGGTGGCATGTGCCCATAGTCCCAGCTATTTGGGAGGCAGACGTGGGAGGATCACTTAGGGCCAGGAGTTTGAGGCCACAGTGAGCTAATGGAGTGAGCTATATACAGTAAGCAATATGAAGTGCTACTGCACTCAGCCTGGGCAACAGAGTGAGACTCCATCTTCTCAAACAAAAAATAAGCAACTGTGCCACCTCCTTCCATAGCAGTCTACACATCAGTTTAGCAGTAGGTTCATGAAACTAGGCTTTTCAGTGTTCAAAAATAAATATGACTCAAATCCCATTACTCTAGTATATTTGCAACATAGCTATTTGTATGATCTGGCTGAGGCCCTAGTGATCAGTGCTGTGGTCATAATTACAAAAGATGATACAATAAAAATGCTCTGTGTTGCCTCTATAACCATCAACTCTTCCTAAGGAAAAGAAAACAAAAACCCACCAACCTCACTACTTGTGATTTTCCAAGCAAATTTTTCTTGCTGAATTGGCACTGAAGTTAAAACGATTGGTTGGGCAAATGAAAGTAACTAAGTTTAGAGTTTTGGGCAAATAAAAAGAACTAAGTTCAGAGTAGCTCTTCTAAGTTTTTCTGACTTCTGAATTCTTACATCATGGATTTGAATCTACCAACAAAACAACATTTTTTAAAAGTTAACAAGATTGGAGGAGGAAAGACCTTTATTAGAGCAAAAGTTTACCTATTTCGTTCTTTACTTTTTAAAATCTGTTTTAAAGAAAAATCTAGGCATACCTGAATTGAACGTTGATTCTAAACGGTTAAAAAGGTTATTGATGATTATACTATGTTGTGAGGTTCTTATGAGTTACTTTGAAAGGTGTTTAAAACTTTGTAGAATTATTGTTGATTGCTACTCACGGCTTTTCTTTTTTACTTGATAATTTATTGCTTAGTTAGAGATAATGGGTTGGGCATCTTAGAGACTGGGAATTTGGTTTCTAGAATTGTTTTTTTATAATAAAAATAGCTTCCAAAGTATTTTGCATCACTTAAAGAATTAACAACAAAATCAAGGAAGTACCTTTTAAACAGCTCTTCCAAGACCTAAATATTAGTAATATATTTAACAGAAATATATTGTTATAGAAATGTTATTATATTCTGTTAGAATATAATAATATATTTCTATGATAAATTTTACAGAAATGTATCATTATATTCTAACAGAAAAAAGTTTGATATTTGTATTACTCTCCGTAATGCTGATTTAAAAGAAGTCCTGGTTGTTGAAATTCTAGGACTAGATATTTAAAAATTATCTGCAAGATGTATTTCTCATTTTTTCTGACATATCAGCACCTACGTTAAGTGTGCACACATATTTGATTATTTTTACAATTTTATTTTAGATTCCCTGCATCAACTAAGAAAAGCCTGTTTTCTTTATTTCAAACTTGGTGGCGAATGTGTTGCGGGTCCTGTTGGGCTGCTTTCTGTGTAAGTTGTGATGGCATAGAGGATACAGATCTGCCAGATTTTCTGTTCAGTTGATGAATTACTGCAAATCTTTCTTCCTTATGCATTTTGTCATTTTATTATCTTTTAGTATCCCGACGAGAAGGTAGCCCAAAGAAATGAAGAAAGGCAATATTTAGTACTGTTTTCTTTCTAGGGAACGCAGTTAAAGGTGGTGGTAGAGGAAGCCATAACCCTTGATTAAAATAGAAGCTTGTTTTTTTGCCTATGGATTTATCCATATGTTCTGATCTGTGGGAGGCAGGAATAATTGAAATTTTTTAATTTAAAAATTAGTTTCATTGAAGTACAGGGACTTACACACCCAGTATTACTTCTGACAGTACAGACATATGTGGAACTGTTCTTGGAAAGTCTACAAAGTGAAATCATTTGAGTTATTTCTCATCTGCAAAGTGATCCTTTGAGTAATTTCTCATTAATCTATAATCTGAACATCAATACTGATATTTTTAAAAGCCCTACACCCCAACAGACCAGGCCATCCAGGTATTTCAGCATGGCATCTCAGGATGAGTAAAGAAAACAGCTAAAAATATATGACTTACATAAATTGGAGTTACAGGAGTTACTAGCTCCCCTGAAAGGATATATTCTTTTTTTCTTTCTTTTTTTTTTTTTAAAAGGATTTGCTCCTGCCATCGTACTTAACTTTTAGACATAAGTTTGTGAAGTCCTCTAAAATGTAAAACATTTGATACAGAATTATGGTGCTTGGGTAAAAAATAAGTAGGATGTTTGTTGAGCTTTATAGATGATATGTAATTGGAACCTTTGGAGTAAATTTTCGTTTTGGACTCTTACCAGTATGTATTTTTTTCCATTACAGATTGTCTCCTAACCCTCTAGTCTTAATTGGACACTTCTTTGCTGTTGCAGTATATGCCATATATTTTTGCTTTAAGTCAGAACCTTGGATTACAAAACCTCGAGCCCTTCTCAGTAGTGGTGCTGTATTGTACAAAGCTTGTTCTGTAATATTTCCTCTCATTTACTCAGAAATGAAGTATTATGGTTCATTAAGCTTAAAGGGGAACCATTTGTGAATGAATATTTGGAACTTACCAAGTCCTAAGAGACTTTTGGAAGAGAATGTATATAGCCTAGTACCATATACTTCTAAAGTGGAAACTCTTGGACCAAGATGGGGATTAATTTGTTTTTGAAGTTTTTTGTATATAAATTATGTAAATACATGCTTTAATTTGCAATTTAAAATGAAGGGTAAAATAAGTTAGATATTGAAAAGAAATGATTGTTACCATAAATTAGTGCTAATACTGAGGAACTACAGTTTTTCTTTTGAATTTAGTATCCGAGATGAGTTGTTGGGAAATGCAAATAAAATGAAGGATGCACTTTTGTGTCTCTTTGTTTCTTGTGGACTCCTTTACATGGCTTCATGATAATGAGAAAGAAAACCAAAGTGGGATGAAAAGTGCAGAGGGAAACCTGTTCTACTAAATAGCTCTGACTTTGGGGAAGCTGTCTTGTCTTGACCTGTTTTCCTCATCTATCCAGTGAAGCAATTTGACACGGTTCTTTTCATAAAAAAAAAAAAAAAAAAATTACCTATTTGTTTTATTGTGGGGCTGTGACTCAGATTTGAACAGAAAGGATCTTTGCTGAGTTCTGAAAATATCAGATTCTGACAGGAAAAGCAGTTAAGGGCTTTGTAAGTTACACTGTGTAACATTAATAAACCAGGCCAGGATGACATCAAGAAACAGTCAGTGAATGAATAAGCACTTGTAATACCCGGCATAACACCTTAAGATCCGTTAGAATTGACTGAGTTTATCTATAGTAAATTTGAAGAGACTGGATATTCAAAGGGTATCACAAAAGTTCAGTAAATCTCCAAATATCTTGAAAGTAAACTGTTACCCCTGAAAGAGCAGTAAAATATAACCTGTCAAAGTAAGTTACTACTTGAAATTCTAACAGGGCTAAAATAATTTATAAAGCTTTTACAGTAAAAATTTCAATTTTTAAGTTCTTTCAGTTGAGAAAAATACTTCACTGGCCAAATAACTAGCAAAATCAGTTTCAAGCATCATGGCCTTGTTTTGGCAGAGCATATGGTGGGCCCATTTGCTTGGTTTCCTTAGACTGCTATCTAACTGACCCTAAACTTCTATTTTCTGGTTAAAAACTTACTTTCCCAGATCCGGCCTTTTTAGCAGTTAACTTTCTTTTTAGAGTACTAAAGATCTCACTTCATGAGTTGATGTTAACAAGATTACAAATGAAAAATAGTAAGATGCCTTTGAGATACAGATGTTCCCACACAGCAGCTCTGCAGCGGGTGAGACTTCCAAGCTCCTTACATACCAAGCAACATTTCACTTAAAATTCTGCCCTGGTTTGATGCCCTTGTGGCCAGGATTCGAGGCTTTCCTTGTTCTCCACTGAGACTCCTTTAAAATCCTCTCTACTATGATGAAATAATCAAAGCCTTAAAGTCTTTTCTTCCCTTCAATATCAGAATTTGAGGCCTTTAGACAAAAGAAGTAACATCATAAAATGAGAAAACTGAAGGAACCTGAGAAATCCTTTAGTCTTAATTTTACAGATGATGCCAATGGGCTGGCTTGCGACAAGGTGGAGCTTGTGGCAGAACCAGGACTCAAATTTTGTCTCCTGGCCACAAATCAACACATCTTTCCCCACTAGCAAAATGACTGTCAAACAGATTTTAGCTTCCAGGTTTGGTTTGGTTTGTTCCTTTTCTCTCCAGAGGAGGACATAACCATAGAGATTCAGGGTGGAAACATCTTTCTTGCTCTCATCCAAGTTGTTGATTTCCAAGCTGCCACAGTAGGATGGCAGTGACGGGGTTTGGTTCTGTGTCCCCACTCATATTCCTTCATAGCAGTGTGACAACAGACTGATAGAGGCAGCTTCCTTTTCAGGGTCATTTTCATGCAGAAATGATTTAGGATTTCGAGGGAGTTAAGCTTATGGCAAGACTATTACCAAAAAGTCGTATAGATAATGATACAGTCCTGGGGATTTGGGGCAGGACTCAGGTTGCTGAGGAAGATACTGGAAGGAGCAGCTTTGTTAGGAAGTCCTATACAAGGAATGCTGTGAACTTCCTACGTCATCTGGGATTGGAAGAGGATGGTGAGACACCAAGAAACTTCCATGGTACATGACACAGATTATGTGGCCACTACATTTGCTGCTAGTCTGGCTATCACCACGTACCTGCCAGCTTGTTGAGGGAGGGCTATCGTAACTGGCAGAATCATCGCTTACCTTCCAAACAGGGTTTTTTACAGGGTGAATATACAATTTTTGAATCATAAGCAGAGATGACTTTGGGTACTGGTAATACGATTTTACTGAAAATCTGGAGTTGGACAAATAGTTCTTTAGAACATAAAACTACATGGATTTATACATAACAGTTACAGTCAGCATTTATGAGAGGCAGTACAAAAATGTATTCTGCTTCTACATGATAGAAATTGCATGTAATATCATGATTTAAACAATATCAGTTATATTGACTAATGCCATGAGATATATCTTACTGAGAATATCTGACGTTTCCGATAACGGAGGGCAAAAAACACAGTTATATGAACAACTGAGTTTCTTTTCATTTTCAAATTTGTTTTAGCGATGGTGGGAAGATCTAAGGACAATCCTTCCATTGAAGAAGTAGAAAAAAGTTACAGTACTGTTCTGAACTCATCAAAAATGAAATTAGGCACATGTGCTTCAGCAACCTGAAAAATTAAAAGAATTAAATTACTCATAGTGTTATATTTGAACAATTTCAAAATATTCATACGAAAAAGAAAAGATATCCTTGGAGCAAGGTGAATTACAGGGAAGCAGAGACTCCCATGGGTGGACTACTTGAAACAGCCCCTTTCGGTTTCTGGTGCCCTCTGGACTAGAGTCTCATTTCTTGGCGCTGCTAACATTTGAGGGGATGCAGTACAGCTCTCCCGCCTCCAAATGTGATCTCCTTGGCTCTGAAAGGCACCTCAATCTGCAAGGAATGTTCACACCTCTGGGAAGTACTAACAAGTACTCAGGTCACCTAATACACTTTATTAACTGATGACCAACCAAGGAAAAACAGGATGTCTAGCAAGTGATGGGGTTGGAGAGGTAGGGGAGGGCAGGAATGAGACACCAAGGCCAGAAGGGGAAGAGCAGGATGGCCCTCAGGGGCATGCATTCCTGAACCGTTGCTAGGCAAAGCCCTGAGAAGACTAAATTGGGCTGAGTTGGGTAAGTATGTAGAGCTAGGTGATCCAAGGGCTGGAGATAAGTTATTTTTTTAGAAGCAGTGTTTAATTTTTTTTTCTGATCTTAAAGGTATCACCTGCTTATTAGAGGAAATTTAGAAAATGCAAAACAGTATAAAAATTATTTTTACAGGAGGTGGAGGGCAAGGGGTGGGAGAGCATTAGGACGAACACCTAATGCATGCGGGGCTTAAAACCTAGATGACGGGTTGATAGGTGCAGCAAACCACCATGGCACATGTATAATACCTATGTAACAAACCTGCACGTCTGCACATGTATCCCAGAGCTTAAAATTTAAAAAAAAAAAATTTTTTTTTTTTTTTAAATTTTAAG